CAATTGATGTCATCACGTATGAATGGAAGACAAATGGTGACTAGTAGTTTTTCTGCTGAACAATTCGTTTGTCTGATCAATTTAGGCTTGCTGTGCTTTTCGATAAACGCATCGGGATAAGCGTTTCTAGTCAAAGATTCTTTCAGCTGTCGTAGTTTGTTGTCAATCATGTCTTCTGTGCATATATGTCGTGCTGTTTGAAATAGTGTTCGGACCAGACCACGTTCATATTCCACAGACACAAAGCTGTCAAATTGCAAGCATTGGCCTGTCCAGGTTTCCTTTCGGTAAACAGATCTGGCCATTGTTCCATCATTATTCCTAGTCATTTTAATGTCGAGGAAGTGCAGTGTATCTTCGATTTCTGTTTCCATCGTAAATCGTATATTCGGATGCAGACGATCGAGTTTATCCATAATCCATGTTGTCTCTTCTAGACTTATTGTGATGACTAGAACATGATCAACGTATCGTTTATAAAGTTGTGAACGTTCGAGGATTTTGCTCGCCTTTTCCTCAAGATGAGCCAAAAACAGATGTGCCAGAATGGGGCTCAATGGAGTTCCGATTGCGACACCGTCAATTTGTCTGTAAGCCCAACCAAGGAAGGAGAACGATACGTTTGTTGTGCACAGTAGTAATTGTCGTACCAGAACTGATACTGGTATACCGATTTTCAGTTTGTTTTGCTCCACATGATCACACATGATACGTATGACCTCCCGACCGGGAACATTCGTAAACAGTGATTGGAAATCAAATGAAGCCATGTGCTTCCCTTTCACATTGATCTGGTCCAAAAGCTTTACCACTTCGAAACTGTCTTTTTTATAGTGTGTCTGACCATTGATTTATGAACTGGCTCAAGCAATTTCTCCAGCCATTTGGCCAATTCGTGTTGTGGTGAATTTGTCATAGATAGTAGTAGTATTGGTCCAAGTGGCACTCCGGGTTTGTTTAGTTTCGGTAAACCATACAGTTGTGCACTTCGAGTTCCTTTTGGCTTCAGATGGTGAGCTGTGCTTTCATCGATGAAGTGTCCTTCTAGTAGAAACCGTACTGCTGTCGATATCTGTTGTTCTAGTTCTTTAGGGTCTTCACAGTCATCTTCGAGTACAAACTTGCTGGGATCATGAAGAACACTTTCCATCTTCTTCTCATAATCATTCCGATCGATCAGCACTGCTCCGGACCCCTTGTTAGGGCGTAAAACTAACAAATCAGGTCACAACTGTAGCTCTTCAATGACGGATGTGAATGTGCTCAGGCGTGAAGAGTGACTTATGTTTGGACGATGTCATCCGGTACTGTCGTTCCAAGTCAACCAGCTTTGCTTTGAACCAAGTCTCCGCATCTTTTGAAGTTCGTTTGACTAATTGTAGTTGTTCGAATAGATATTCAAATTGCGCCTGTGTCTTTATGCTGGTCATTTTACTCGGTGGTATGCAGAAACGTAGACCACACGAAAGAGCCTGTAGTTGAAGTTCATTCGTTTAACCGGAGACAAATTCTTCACAAACCTTTCTGGTTGTTTCGGAAAATTTGGTTCGACTAACTTGTGGACGATGGAATTTTGAAGCTTGTTGAATGTACAAAGTTTGGCTTCTCGTATGTTTTCCATGCACAAGTTGGTAAATTTGATTCGGCTAACGAGGCTCAGTTCGTCAAGAATTATTGATCATTCGATGCACGTGGTCTGAAGTGTCGTTAGATTTTCTTTATAATCATCAATCTGACATCGCATCAAACGTCTCAAATTCCTGGTAGAGGCACAGATTTTATTCCTCCGTAAGCGTTTGCAAAACGTAATCGGATATCTGTTGCAACGGGCACGTTGTTCCAGAAAATGAATACGGACTCGAGTTGTGGCAATTTCACATCTCAATCTGACTAGGTCATCGAGAGACCTAATGGTTGATTTCGGGAGACGAGATCTGAGGAAATTTAAACATGCTTTTCCCGAAATAAACTTGAAAAGAAAAGCCACAGTTGCAACATTGCACGATTCGTGTCCGGGACGATTTCGCTGCATCTGAACATGGTGCACACTGTACAACCATACTGTTTATATAAGTTCATGTTAAACCATAATTTTTCGACAAATATAGGGGAAATTTCAATAGTCAAGTTACGTCACCATGATAAAGACACATGAACAAAGAGCTGTTTGTGCTGACACAATATTAGGTTTCCATGAATGTATGGCAATGGTTTGAACAAACCTCAAAAGCCTGGTATTCTTTGCCACGTAAATGACCCGAAACGCAGTGCTTCGGTCAGCTGGATGTTGCGTCATCAGAAGATGACGAGCGACGGCCGACGGCCGACAGCCGACGACGGGATCTTATGGTTTCGAACGTTGTCATTATGCCTTTGATCTGACCCTGATTGCATCACAAAACGTTGTACCCAATTTGGAATATATTCAATCACTCGGTTACGTAACTGGCGCTCTGTTCGACCCACGTAGGTTGCTCCGCAACTACACTGAAATTGGTAAATCAGATTCGATTTGGTGTACAGAGGTGGACGTTGTTTCACCGAGGGTGTGGGGATCTCAATCGTTCGATGAATAATTCTGAGGTCAGGTGCATAATATTTGTTTTGGGCAAGCGCTGATCCAAGTGGTCGTTTGAGCAAGCAATTGATGTCATCACGTATGAATGGAAGACAAAGGGTGACTAGTAGTTTTTCTGCTGAACAATTCGTTTGTCTGATCAATTTAGGCTTGCTGTGCTTTTCGATAAACGCATCGGGATAAGCGTTTCTAGTCAAAGATTCTTTCAGCTGTCGTAGTTCGTTGTCAATCATGTCTTCTGTGCAGATATGTCGTGCTGTTTGAAATAGTGTTCGGACCAGACCACGTTCATATTCCACAGACACAAAGCTGTCAAATTGCAAGCATTGGCCTGTCCAAGTTTCCTTTCGGTAAACAGATCTGGCCATTGTTCCATCATTATTCCTAGTCATTTTAATGTCGAGGAAGTGCAGTGTATCTTCGATTTCTGTTTCCATCGTAAATCGTATATTCGGATGCAGGCGATCGAGTTTATCCATAATCCATGTTGTCTCTTCTAGACTTATTGTGATGACTAGAACATGATCAACGTATCGTTTGTAAAGTTGTGAACGTTCGAGGATTTTGCTCGCCTTTTCCTCAAGATGAGCCAAAAACAGATGTGCCAGAATGGGGCTCAATGGAGTTCCGATTGCGACACCGTCAATTTGTCTGTAAGCCCAACCAAGGAAGGAGAACGATACGTTTGTTGTGCACAGTAGTAATTGTCGTACCAGAACTGATACTGGTATACCGATTTTCAGTTCGTTTTGCTCCACATGATCACACATGATACGTATGACCTCCCGACCGGGAACATTCGTAAACAGTGATTGGAAATCAAATGAAGCCATGTGCTTCCCTTTCACATTGATCTGGTCCAAAAGCTTTACCACTTCGAAACTGTCTTTTTTATAGTGTGTCTGACCATTGATTTATGAACTGGCTCAAGCAATTTCTCCAGCCATTTGGCCAATTCGTGTTGTGGTGAATTTGTCATAGATAGTAGTAGTATTGGTCCAAGTGGCACTCCGGGTTTGTTTAGTTTCGGTAAACCATACAGTTGTGCACTTCGAGTTCCTTTTGGCTTCAGATGGTGAGCTGTGCTTTCATCGATGAAGTGTCCTTCTAGTAGAAACTGTACTGCTGTCGATATCTGTTGTTCTAGTTCTTTAGGGTCTTCACAGTCATCTTCGAGTACAAACTTGCTGGGATCATGAAGAACACTTTCCATCTTCTTCTCATAATCATTCCGATCGATCAGCACTGCTCCGGACCCCTTGTTAGGGCGTAAAACTAAAAAATCAGGTCACAACTGTAGCTCTTCAATGGCGGATGTGAATGTGCTCAGGCGTGAAGAGTGACTTATGTTTGGACGATGTCATCCGGTACTGTCGTTCCAAGTCAACCAGCTTTGCTTTGAACCAAGTCTCCGCATCTTTTGAAGTTCGTTTGACTAATTGTAGTTGTTCGAATAGATATTCAAATTGCGCCTGTGTCTTTATGCTGGTCATTTTACTCGGTGGTATGCAGAAACGTACACCACACGAAAGAGCTTGTAGTTGAAGTTCATTCGTTTAACCGGAGACAAATTCTTCACGAACCTTTCTGGTTGTTTCGGAAAATTTGGTTCGACTAACTTGTGGACGATGGAATTCTGAAGCTTGTTGAATGTACAAAGTTTGGCTTCTCGTATGTTTTCCATGCACAAGTTGGTAAATTTGATTCGGCTAACGAGGCTCAGTTCGTCAAGAATTATTGATCATTCGATGCACGTGGTCTGAAGTGTCGTTAGATTTTCTTTATAATCATCAATCTGACATCGCATCAAACGTCTCAAATTCCTGGTAGAGGCACAGATTTTATTCCTCCGTAAGCGTTTGCAAAACGTAATCGGATATCTGTTGCAACGGGCACGTTGTTCCAGAAAATGAATACGGACTCGAGTTGTGGCAATTTCACATCTCGATCTGACTAGGTCATCGAGAGACCTAATGGTTGATTTCGGGAGACGAGATCTGAGGAAATTTAAACATGCTTTTCCCGAAATAAACTTGAAAAGAAAAGCCACAGTTGCAACATTGCACGATTCGTGTCCGGGACGATTTCGCTGCATCTGAACATGGTGCACACTGTACAACCATACTGTTTATATAAGTTCATGTTAAACCATAATTTTTCGACAAATATAGGGGAAATTTCAATAGTCAAGTTACGTCACCATGATAAAGACACATGAACAAAGAGCTGTTTGTGCTGACACAATATTAGGTTTCCATGAATGTATGGCAATGGTTTGAACAAACCTCAAAAGCCTGGTATTCTTTGCCACGTAAATGACCCGAAACGCAGTGCTTCGGTCAGCTGGATGTTGCGTCATCAGAAGATGACGAGCGACGGCCGACGGCCGACGGCCGACAGCCGACGACGGGATCTTATGTTTTCAAACGTTGTCATTATGCCTTTGATCTGACCCTGATTGCATCACAAAACGTTGTACCCAATTTGGAATATATTCAATCACTCGGTTACGTAACTGGCGCTCTGTTCGACCCACGTAGGTTGCTCCGCAACTACACTGAAATTGATAAATCAGATTCGATTTGGTGTACAGAGGTGGACGTTGTTTCACCGAGGGTGTGGGGATCTCAATCGTTCGATGAATAATTCTGAGGTCAGGTGCATAATATTTGTTTTGGGCAAGCGCTGATCCAAGTGGTCGTTTGAGCAAGCAATTGATGTCATCACGTATGAATGGAAGACAAAGGGTGACTAGTAGTTTTTCTGCTGAACAATTCGTTTGTCTGATCAATTTAGGCTTGCTGTGCTTTTCGATAAACGCATCGGGATAAGCGTTTCTAGTCAAAGATTCTTTCAGCTGTCGTAGTTTGTTGTCAATCATGTCTTCTGTGCATATATGTCGTGCTGTTTGAAATAGTGTTCGGACCAGACCACGTTCATATTCCACAGACACAAAGCTGTCAAATTGCAAGCATTGGCCTGTCCAAGTTTCCTTTCGGTAAACAGATCTGGCCATTGTTCCATCATTATTCCTAGTGATTTTAATGTCGAGGAAGTGCAGTGTATCTTCGATTTCTGTTTCCATCGTAAATCGTATATTCGGATGCAGACGATCGAGTTTATCCATAATCCATGTTGTCTCTTCTAGACTTATTGTGATGACTAGAACATGATCAACGTATCGTTTGTAAAGTTGTGAACGTTCGAGGATTTTGCTCGCCTTTTCCTCAAGATGAGCCAAAAACAGATGTGCCAGAATGGGGCTCAATGGAGTTCCGATTGCGACACCGTCAATTTGTCTGTAAGCCCAACCAAGGAAGGAGAACGATACGTTTGTTGTGCACAGTAGTAATTGTCGTACCAGAACTGATACTGGTATACCGATTTTCAGTTCGTTTTGCTCCACATGATCACACATGATACGTATGACCTCCCGACCGGGAACATTCGTAAACAGTGATTGGAAATCAAATGAAGCCATGTGCTTCCCTTTCACATTGATCTGGTCCAAAAGCTTTACCACTTCGAAACTGTCTTTTTTATAGTGTGTCTGACCATTGATTTATGAACTGGCTCAAGCAATTTCTCCAGCCATTTGGCCAATTCGTGTTGTGGTGAATTTGTCATAGATAGTAGTAGTATTGGTCCAAGTGGCACTCCGGGTTTGTTTAGTTTCGGTAAACCATACAGTTGTGCACTTCGAGTTCCTTTTGGCTTCAGATGGTGAGCTGTGCTTTCATCGATGAAGTGTCCTTCTAGTAGAAACCGTACTGCTGTCGATATCTGTTGTTCTAGTTCTTTAGGGTCTTCACAGTCATCTTCGAGTACAAACTTGCTGGGATCATGAAGAACACTTTCCATCTTCTTCTCATAATCATTCCGATCGATCAGCACTGCTCCGGACCCCTTGTTAGGGCGTAAAACTAAAAAATCAGGTCACAACTGTAGCTCTTCAATGGCGGATGTGAATGTGCTCAGGCGTGAAGAGTGACTTATGTTTGGACGATGTCATCCGGTACTGTCGTTCCAAGTCAACCAGCTTTGCTTTGAACCAAGTCTCCGCATCTTTTGAAGTTCGTTTGACTAATTGTAGTTGTTCGAATAGATATTCGAATTGCGCCTGTGTCTTTATGCTGGTCATTTTACTCGGTGGTATGCAGAAACGTAGACCACACGAAAGAGCCTGTAGTTGAAGTTCATTCGTTTAACCGGAGACAAATTCTTCACAAACCTTTCTGGTTGTTTCGGAAAATTTGGTTCGACTAATTTGTGGACGATGGAATTCTGAAGCTTGTTGAATGTACAAAGTTTGGCTTCTCGTATGTTTTCCATGCACAAGTTGGTAAATTTGATTCGGCTAACGAGGCTCGGTTCGTCAAGAATTATTGATCATTCGATGCACGTGGTCTGAAGTGTCGTTAGATTTTCTTTATAATCATCAATTTGATATCGCATCAAACGTCTCAAATTCCTGGTAGAGGCACAGATTTTATTCCTCCGTAAGCGTTTGCAAAACGTAATCGGATATCTGTTGCAACGGGCACGTTGTTCCAGAAAATGAATACGGACTCGAGTTGTGGCAATTTCACATCTCAATCTGACTAGGTCATCGAGAGACCTGATGGTTGATTTCGGAAGACGAGATCTGAGGAAATTTAAACATGCTTTTCCCGAAATAGTCTTGAAAAGAAAAGCCACAGTTGCAACATTGCACGATTCGTGTCCGGGACGATTTCGCTGCATCTGAACATGGTGCACACTGTACAACCATACTGTTTATATAAGTTCATGTTAAACCATAATTTTTCGACAAATATAGGGGAAATTTCAATAGTCAAGTTACGTCACCATGATAAAGACACATGAACAAAGAGCTGTTTGTGCTGACACAATATTAGGTTTCCATGAATGTATGGCAATGGTTTGAACAAACCTCAAAAGCCTGGTATTCTTTGCCACGTAAATGACCCGAAACGCAGTGGTTCGGTCAGCTGGATGTTGCGTCATCAGAAGATGACGAGCGACGGCCGACGGCCGACGGCCGACAGCCGACGACGGGATCTTATGGTTTCGAACGTTGTCATTATGCCTTTGATCAGACCCTGATTGCATCACAAAACGTTGTACCCAATTTGGAATATATTCAATCACTCGGTTACGTAACTGGCGCTCTGTTCGACCCAAGTAGGTTGCTCCGCAACTACACTGAAATTGATAAATCAGATTCGATTTGGTGTACAGAGGTGGACGTTGTTTCACCGAGGGTGTGGGGATCTCAATCGTTCGATGAATAATTCTGAGGTCAGGTGCATAATATTTGTTTTTGGCAAGCGCTGATCCAAGTGGTCGTTTGAGCAAGCAATTGATGTCATCACGTATGAATGGAAGACAAAGGGTGACTAGTAGTTTTTCTGCTGAACAATTCGTTTGTCTGATCAATTTAGGCTTGCTGTGCTTTTCGATAAACGCATCGGGATAAGCGTTTCTAGTCAAAGATTCTTTCAGCTGTCGTAGTTCGTTGTCAATCATGTCTTCTGTGCATATATGTCGTGCTGTTTGAAATAGTGTTCGGACCAGACCACGTTCATATTCCACAGACACAAAGCTGTCAAATTGCAAGCATTGGCCTGTCCAAGTTTCTTTTCGGTAAACAGATCTGGCCATTGTTCCATCATTATTCCTAGTCATTTTAATGTCGAGGAAGTGCAGTGTATCTTCGATTTCTGTTTCCATCGTAAATCGTATATTCGGATGCAGGCGATCGAGTTTATCCATAATCCATGTTGTCTCTTCTAGACTTATTGTGATGACTAGAACATGATCAACGTATCGTTTGTAAAGTTGTGAACGTTCGAGGATTTTGCTCGCCTTTTCCTCAAGATGAGCCAAAAACATATGTGCCAGAATGGGGCTCAATGGAGTTCGGATTGCGACACCGTCAATTTGTCTGTAAGCCCAACCAAGGAAGGAGAACGATACGTTTGTTGTGCACAGTAGTAATTGTCGTACCAGAACTGATACTGGTATACCGATTTTCAGTTGGTTTTGCTCCACATGATCACACATGATACGTATGACCTCCCGACCGGGAACATTCGTAAACAGTGATTGGAAATCAAATGAAGCCATGTGCTTCCCTTTCACATTGATCTGGTCCAAAAGCTTTACCACTTCGAAACTGTCTTTTTTATAGTGTGTCTGACCATTGATTTATGAACTGGCTCAAGCAATTTCTCCAGCCATTTGGCCAATTCGTGTTGTGGTGAATTTGTCATAGATAGTAGTAGTATTGGTCCAAGTGGCACTCCGGGTTTGTTTAGTTTCGGTAAACCATACAGTTGTGCACTTCGAGTTCCTTTTGGCTTCAGATGGTGAGCTGTGCTTTCATCGATGAAGTGTCCTTCTAGTAGAAACCGTACTGCTGTCGATATCTGTTGTTCTAGTTCTTTAGGGTCTTCACAGTCATCTTCGAGTACAAACTTGCTGGGATCATGAAGAACACTTTCCATCTTCTTCTCATAATCATTCCGATCGATCAGCACTGCTCCGGACCCCTTGTTAGGGCGTAAAACTAACAAATCAGGTCACAACTGTAGCTCTTCAATGGCGGATGTGAATGTGCTCAGGCGTGAAGAGTGACTTATGTTTGGACGATGTCATCCGGTACTGTCGTTCCAAGTCAACCAGCTTTGCTTTGAACCAAGTCTCCGCATCTTTTGAAGTTCGTTTGACTAATTGTAGTTGTTCGAATAGATATTCGAATTGCGCCTGTGTCTTTATGCTGGTCATTTTACTCGGTGGTATGCAGAAACGTAGACCACACGAAAGAGCCTGTAGTTGAAGTTCATTCGTTTAACCGGAGACAAATTCTTCACAAACCTTTCTGGTTGTTTCGGAAAATTTGGTTCGACTAATTTGTGGACGATGGAATTCGGAAGCTTGTTGAATGTACAAAGTTTGGCTTCTCGTATGTTTTCCATGCACAAGTTGGTAAATTTGATTCGGCTAACGAGGCTCGGTTCGTCAAGAATTATTGATCATTCGATGCACGTGGTCTGAAGTGTCGTTAGATTTTCTTTATAATCATCAATCTGACATCGCATCAAACGTCTCAAATTCCTGGTAGAGGCACAGATTTTATTCCTCCGTAAGCGTTTGCAAAACGTAATCGGATATCTGTTGCAACGGGCACGTTGTTCCAGAAAATGAATACGGACTCGAGTTGTGGCAATTTCACATCTCAATCTGACTAGGTCATCGAGAGACCTGATGGTTGATTTCGGAAGACGAGATCTGAGGAAATTTAAACATGCTTTTCCCGAAATAGTCTTGAAAAGAAAAGCCACAGTTGCAACATTGCACGATTCGTGTCCGGGACGATTTCGCTGCATCTGAACATGGTGCACACTGTACAACCATACTGTTTATATAAGTTCATGTTAAACCATAATTTTTCGACAAATATAGGGGAAATTTCAATAGTCAAGTTACGTCACCATGATAAAGACACATGAACAAAGAGCTGTTTGTGCTGACACAATATTAGGTTTCCATGAATGTATGGCAATGGTTTGAACAAACCTCAAAAGCCTGGTATTCTTTGCCACGTAAATGACCCGAAACGCAGTGGTTCGGTCAGCTGGATGTTGCGTCATCAGAAGATGACGAGCGACGGCCGACGGCCGACGGCCGACAGCCGACGACGGGATCTTATGGTTTCGAACGTTGTCATTATGCCTTTGATCAGACCCTGATTGCATCACAAAACGTTGTACCCAATTTGGAATATATTCAATCACTCGGTTACGTAACTGGCGCTCTGTTCGACCCAAGTAGGTTGCTCCGCAACTACACTGAAATTGATAAATCAGATTCGATTTGGTGTACAGAGGTGGACGTTGTTTCACCGAGGGTGTGGGGATCTCAATCGTTCGATGAATAATTCTGAGGTCAGGTGCATAATATTTGTTTTTGGCAAGCGCTGATCCAAGTGGTCGTTTGAGCAAGCAATTGATGTCATCACGTATGAATGGAAGACAAAGGGTGACTAGTAGTTTTTCTGCTGAACAATTCGTTTGTCTGATCAATTTAGGCTTGCTGTGCTTTTCGATAAACGCATCGGGATAAGCGTTTCTAGTCAAAGATTCTTTCAGCTGTCGTAGTTCGTTGTCAATCATGTCTTCTGTGCAGATATGTCGTGCTGTTTGAAATAGTGTTCGGACCAGACCACGTTCATATTCCACAGACACAAAGCTGTCAAATTGCAAGCATTGGTCTGTCCAAGTTTCTTTTCGGTAAACAGATCTGGCCATTGTTCCATCATTATTCCTAGTGATTTTAATGTCGAGGAAGTGCAGTGTATCTTCGATTTCTGTTTCCATCGTAAATCGTATATTCGGATGCAGGCGATCGAGTTTATCCATAATCCATGTTGTCTCTTCTAGACTTATTGTGATGACTAGAACATGATCAACGTATCGTTTGTAAAGTTGTGAACGTTCGAGGATTTTGCTCGCCTTTTCCTCAAGATGAGCCAAAAACAGATGTGCCAGAATGGGGCTCAATGGAGTTCCGATTGCGACACCGTCAATTTGTCTGTAAGCCCAACCAAGGAAGGAGAACGATACGTTTGTTGTGCACAGTAGTAATTGTCGTACCAGAACTGATACTGGTATACCGATTTTCAGTTCGTTTTGCTCCACATGATCACACATGATACGTATGACCTCCCGACCGGGAACATTCGTAAACAGTGATTGGAAATCAAATGAAGCCATGTGCTTCCCTTTCACATTGATCTGGTCCAAAAGCTTTACCACTTCGAAACTGTCTTTTTTATAGTGTGTCTGACCATTGATTTATGAACTGGCTCAAGCAATTTCTCCAGCCATTTGGCCAATTCGTGTTGTGGTGAATTTGTCATAGATAGTAGTAGTATTGGTCCAAGTGGCACTCCGGGTTTGTTTAGTTTCGGTAAACCATACAGTTGTGCACTTCGAGTTCCTTTTGGCTTCAGATGGTGAGCTGTGCTTTCATCGATGAAGTGTCCTTCTAGTAGAAACCGTACTGCTGTCGATATCTGTTGTTCTAGTTCTTTAGGGTCTTCACAGTCATCTTCGAGTACAAACTTGCTGGGATCATGAAGAACACTTTCCATCTTCTTCTCATAATCATTCCGATCGATCAGCACTGCTCCGGACCCCTTGTTAGGGCGTAAAACTAACAAATCAGGTCACAACTGTAGCTCTTCAATGGCGGATGTGAATGTGCTCAGGCGTGAAGAGTGACTTATGTTTGGACGATGTCATCCGGTACTGTCGTTCCAAGTCAACCAGCTTTGCTTTGAACCAAGTCTCCGCATCTTTTCAAGTTCGTTTGACTAATTGTAGTTGTTCGAATAGATATTCAAATTGCGCCTGTGTCTTTATGCTGGTCATTTTACTCGGTGGTATGCAGAAACGTAGACCACACGAAAGAGCTTGTAGTTGAAGTTCATTCGTTTAACCGGAGACAAATTCTTCACGAACCTTTCTGGTTGTTTCGGAAAATTTGGTTCGACTAACTTGTGGACGATGGAATTCTGAAGCTTGTTGAATGTACAAAGTTTGGCTTCTCGTATGTTTTCCATGCACAAGTTGGTAAATTTGATTCGGCTAACGAGGCTCAGTTCGTCAAGAATTATTGATCATTCGATGCACGTGGTCTGAAGTGTCGTTAGATTTTCTTTATAATCATCAATCTGACATCGCATCAAACGTCTCAAATTCCTGGTAGAGGCACAGATTTTATTCCTCCGTAAGCGTTTGCAAAACGTAATCGGATATCTGTTGCAACGGGCACGTTGTTCCAGAAAATGAATACGGACTCGAGTTGTGGCAATTTCACATCTCAATCTGACTAGGTCATCGAGAGACCTAATGGTTGATTTCGGGAGACGAGATCTGAGGAAATTTAAACATGCTTTTCCCGAAATAATCTTGAAAAGAAAAGCCACAGTTGCAACATTGCACGATTCGTGTCCGGGACGATTTCGCTGCATCTGAACATGGTGCACACTGTACAACCATACTGTTTATATAAGTTCATGTTAAACCATAATTTTTCGACAAATATAGGGGAAATTTCAATAGTCAAGTTACGTCACCATGATAAAGACACATGAACAAAGAGCTGTTTGTGCTGACACAATATTAGGTTTCCATGAATGTATGGCAATGGTTTGAACAAACCTCAAAAGCCTGGTATTCTTTGCCACGTAAATGACCCGAAACGCAGTGCTTCGGTCAGCTGGATGTTGCGTCATCAGAAGATGACGAGCGACGGCCGACGGCCGACGGCCGACAGCCGACGACGGGATCTTATGGTTTCGAACGTTGTCATTATGCCTTTGATCTGACCCTGATTGCATCACAAAACGTTGTACCCAATTTGGAATATATTCAATCACTCGGTTACGTAACTGGCGCTCTGTTCGACCCACGTAGGTTGCTCCGCAACTACACTGAAATTGGTAAATCAGATTCGATTTGGTGTACATTGGTGGACGTTGTTTCACCGAGGGTGTGGGGATCTCAATCGTTCGATGAATAATTCTGAGGTCAGGTGCATAATATTTGTTTTTGGCAAGCGCTGATCCAAGTGGTCGTTTGAGCAAGCAATTGATGTCATCACGTATGAATGGAAGACAAAGGGTGACTAGTAGTTTTTCTGCTGAACAATTCGTTTGTCTGATCAATTTAGGCTTGCTGTGCTTTTCGATAAACGCATCGGGATAAGCGTTTCTAGTCAAAGATTCTTTCAGCTGTCGTAGTTCGTTGTCAATCATGTCTTCTGTGCAGATATGTCGTGCTGTTTGAAATAGTGTTCGGACCAGACCACGTTCATATTCCACAGACACAAAGCTGTCAAATTGCAGGCATTGGCCTGTCCAAGTTTCTTTTCGGTAAACAGATCTGGCCATTGTTCCATCATTATTCCTAGTGATTTTAATGTCGAGGAAGTGCAGTGTATCTTCGATTTCTGTTTCCATCGTAAATCGTATATTCGGATGCAGGCGATCGAGTTTATCCATAATCCACGTTGTTTCTTCTAGACTTATTGTGATGACTAGAACATGATCAACGTATCGTTTGTAAAGTTGTGAACGTTCGAGGATTTTGCTCGCCTTTTCCTCAAGATGAGCCAAAAACAGATGTGCCAGAATGGGGCTCAATGGAGTTCGGATTGCGACACCGTCAATTTGTCTGTAAGCCCAACCAAGGAAGGAGAACGATACGTTTGTTGTGCACAGTAGTAATTGTCGTACCAGAACTGATACTGGTATACCGATTTTCAGTTCGTTTTGCTCCACATGATCACACATGATACGTATGACCTCCCGACCGGGAACATTCGTAAACAGTGATTGGAAATCAAATGAAGCCATGTGCTTCCCTTTCACATTGATCTGGTCCAAAAGCTTTACCACTTCGAAACTGTCTTTTTTATAGTGTGTCTGACCATTGATTTATGAACTGGCTCAAGCAATTTCTCCAGCCATTTGGCCAATTCGTGTTGTGGTGAATTTGTCATAGATAGTAGTAGTATTGGTCCAAGTGGCACTCCGGGTTTGTTTAGTTTCGGTAAACCATACAGTTGTGCACTTCGAGTTTCTTTTGGCTTCAGATGGTGAGCTGTGCTTTCATCGATGAAGTGTCCTTCTAGTAGAAACTGTACTGCTGTCGATATCTGTTGTTCTAGTTCTTTAGGGTCTTCACAGTCATCTTCGAGTACAAACTTGCTGGGATCATGAAGAACACTTTCCATCTTCTTCTCATAATCATTCCGATCGATCAGCACTGCTCCGGACCCCTTGTTAGGGCGTAAAACTAACAAATCAGGTCACAACTGTAGCTCTTCAATGGCGGATGTGAATGTGCTCAGGCGTGAAGAGTGACTTATGTTTGGACGATGTCATCCGGTACTGTCGTTCCAAGTCAACCAGCTTTGCTTTGAACCAAGTCTCCGCATCTTTTGAAGTTCGTTTGACTAATTGTAGTTGTTCGAATAGATATTCAAATTGCGCCTGTGTCTTTATGCTGGTCATTTTACTCGGTGGTATGCAGAAACGTAGACCACACGAAAGAGCCTGTAGTTGAAGTTCATTCGTTTAACCGGAGACAAATTCTTCACAAACCTTTCTGGTTGTTTCGGAAAATTTGGTTCGACTAACTTGTGGACGATGGAATTCTGAAGCTTGTTGAATGTACAAAGTTTGGCTTCTCGTATGTTTTCCATGCACAAGTTGGTAAATTTGATTCGGCTAACGAGGCTCAGTTCGTCAAGAATTATTGATCATTCGATGCACGTGGTCTGAAGTGTCGTTGGATTTTCTTTATAATCATCAATCTGACATCGCATCAAACGTCTCAAATTCCTGGTAGAGGCACAGATTTTATTCCTCCGTAAGCGTTTGCAAAACGTAATCGGATATCTGTTGCAACGGGCACGTTGTTCCAGAAAATGAATACGGACTCGAGTTGTGGCAATTTCACATCTCAATCTGACTAGGTCATCGAGAGACCTGATGGTTGATTTCGGGAGACGAGATCTGAGGAAATTTAAACATGCTTTTCCCGAAATAGTCTTGAAAAGAAAAGCCACAGTTGCAACATTGCACGATTCGTGTCCGGGACGATTTCGCTGCATCTGAACATGGTGCACACTGTACAACCATACTGTTTATATAAGTTCATGTAAAACCATAATTTTCGACAAATATAGGGGAAATTTCAATAGTCAAGTTACGTCACCATGATAAAGACACATGAACAAAGAGCTGTTTGTGCTGACACAATATTAGGTTTCCATGAATGTATGGCAATGGTTTGAACAAACCTCAAAAGCCTGGTATTCTTTGCCACGTAAATGACCCGAAACGCAGTGGTTCGGTCAGCTGGATGTTGCGTCATCAGAAGATGACGAGCGACGGCCGACGGCCGACGGCCGACAGCCGACGACGGGATCTTATGGTTTCGAACGTTGTCATTATGCCTTTGATCTGACCTTGATTGCATCACAAAACGTTGTACCCAATTTGGAATATATTCAATCACTCGGTTACGTAACTGGCGCTCTGTTCGACCTACGTAGGTTGCTCCGCAACTACACTGAAATTGGTAAATCAGATTCGATTTGGTGTACAGAGGTGGACGTTGTTTCACCGAGGGTGTGGGGATCTCAATCGTTTGATGAATAATTCTGAGGTCAGGTGCATAATATTTGTTTTGGGCAAGCGCTGATCCAAGTGGTCGTTTGAGCAAGCAATTGATGTCATCACGTATGAATGGAAGACAAAGGGTGACTAGTAGTTTTTCTGCTGAACAATTCGTTTGTCTGATCAATTTAGGCTTGCTGTGCTTTTCGATAAACGCATCGGGATAAGCGTTTCTAGTCAAAGATTCTTTCAGCTGTCGTAGTTCGTTGTCAATCATGTCTTCTGTGCAGATATGTCGTGCTGTTTGAAATAGTGTTCGGACCAGACCACGTTCATATTCCACAGACACAAAGCTGTCAAATTTCAAGCATTGGCCTGTCCAAGTTTCTTTTCGGTAAACAGATCTGGCCATTGTTCCATCATTATTCCTAGTGATTTTAATGTCGAGGAAGTGCAGTGTATCTTCGATTTCTGTTTCCATCGTAAATCGTATATTCGGATGCAGGCGATCGAGTTTATCCATAATCCATGTTGTCTCTTCTAGACTTATTGTGATGACTAGAACATGATCAACGTATCGTTTGTAAAGTTGTGAACGTTCGAGGATTTTGCTCGCCTTTTCCTCAAGATGAGCCAAAAACATATGTGCCAGAATGGGGCTCAATGGAGTTCCGATTGCGACACCGTCAATTTGTCTGTAAGCCCAACCAAGGAAGGAGAACGATACGTTTGTTGTGCACAGTAGTAATTGTCGTACCAGAACTGATACTGGTATACCGATTTTCAGTTCGTTTTGCTCCACATGATCACACATGATACGTATGACCTCCCGACCGGGAACATTCGTAAACAGTGATTGGAAATCAAATGAAGCCATGTGCTTCCCTTTCACATTGATCTGGTCCAAAAGCTTTACCACTTCGAAACTGTCTTTTTTATAGTGTGTCTGACCATTGATTTATGAACTGGCTCAAGCAATTTCTCCAGCCATTTGGCCAATTCGTGTTGTGGTGAATTTGTCATAGATAGTAGTAGTATTGGTCCAAGTGGCACTCCGGGTTTGTTTAGTTTCGGTAAACCATACAGTTGTGCACTTCGAGTTTCTTTTGGCTTCAGATGGTGAGCTGTGCTTTCATCGATGAAGTGTCCTTCTAGTAGAAACCGTACTGCTGTCGATATCTGTTGTTCTAGTTCTTTAGGGTCTTCACAGTCATCTTCGAGTACAAACTTGCTGGGATCATGAAGAACACTTTCCATCTTCTTCTCATAATCATTCCGATCGATCAGCACTGCTCCGGACCCCTTGTTAGGGCGTAAAACTAAAAAATCAGGTCACAACTGTAGCTCTTCAATGGCGGATGTGAATGTGCTCAGGCGTGAAGAGTGACTTATGTTTGGACGATGTCATCCGGTACTGTCGTTCCAAGTCAACCAGCTTTGCTTTGAACCAAGTCTCCGCAATTTTTTGAAGTTCGTTTGACTAATTGTAGTTGTTCGAATAGATATTCAAATTGCGCCTGTGTCTTTATGCTGGTCATTTTGCTCCGTGGTATGCAGAAACGTAGACCACACGAAAGAGCTTGTAGTTGAAGTTCATTCGTTCAACCGGAGACAAATTCTTCACAAACCTTTCTGGTTGTTTCGGAAAATTTGGTTCGACTAACTTGTGGACGATGGAATTCTGAAGCTTGTTGAATGTACAAAGTTTGGCTTCTCGTATGTTTTCCATGCACAAGTTGGTAAATTTGATTCGGCTAACGAGGCTCAGTTCGTCAAGAATTATTGATCATTCGATGCACGTGGTCTGAAGTGTCGTTAGATTTTCTTTATAATCATCAATCTGACATCGCATCAAACGTCTCAAATTCCTGGTAGAGGCACAGATTTTATTCCTCCGTAAGCGTTTGCAAAACGTAATCGGATATCTGTTGCAACGGGCACGTTGTTCCAGAAATTGAATACGGACTCGAGTCGTGGCAATTTCACATCTCAATCTGACTAGGTCATCGAGAGACCTAATGGTTGATTTCGGGAGACGAGATCTGAGGAAATTTAAACATGCTTTTCCCGAAATAATCTTGAAAAGAAAAGCCACAGTTGCAACATTGCACGATTCGTGTCCGGGACGATTTCGCTGCATCTGAACATGGTGCACACTGCACAACCATACTGTTTATATAAGTTCATGTAAAACCATAATTTTCGACAAATATAGGGGAAATTTCAATAGTCAAGTTACGTCACCATGATAAAGACACATGAACAAAGAGCTGTTTGTGCTGACACAATATTAGGTTTCCATGAATGTATGGGAATGGTTTGAACAAACCTCAAAAGCCTGGTATTCTTTGCCACGTAAATGACCCGAAACGCAGTGCTTCGGTCAGCTGGATGCTGCGTCATCAGAAGATGACGAGCGACGGCCGACGGCCGACGGCCGACAGCCGACGACGGGATCTTATGGTTTCGAACGTTGTCATTATGCCTTTGATCTGACCCTGATTGCATCACAAAACGTTGTACCCAATTTGGAATATATTCAATCACTCGGTTACGTAACTGGCGCTCTGTTCGACCCACGTAGGTTGCTCCGCAACTACACTGAAATTGGTAAATCAGATTCGATTTGGTGTACAGAGGTGGACGTTGTTTCACCGAGGGTGTGGGGATCTCAATCGTTCGATGAATAATTCTGAGGTCAGGTGCATAATATTTGTTTTGGGCAAGCGCTGATCCAAGTGGTCGTTTGAGCAAGCAATTGATGTCATCACGTATGAATGGAAGACAAAGGGTGACTAGTAGTTTTTTCTGCTGATCAATTCGTTTGTCTTATCAATTTAGGCTTGCTGTGCTTTTCGATAAACGCATCGGGATAAGCGTTTCTAGTCAAAGATTCTTTCAGCTGTCGTAGTTCGTTGTCAATCATGTCTTCTGTGCAGATATGTCGTGCTGTTTGAAATAGTGTTCGGACCAGACCACGTTCATATTCCACAGACACAAAGCTGTCAAATTGCAAGCATTGGCCTGTCCAAGTTTCTTTTCGGTAAACAGATCTGGCCATTGTTCCATCATTATTCCTAGTGATTTTAATGTCGAGGAAGTGCAGTGTATCTTCGATTTCTGTTTCCATCGTAAATCGTATATTCGGATGCAGGCGATCGAGTTTATCCATAATCCATGTTGTCTCTTCTAGACTTATTGTGATGACTAGAACATGATCAACGTATCGTTTGTAAAGTTGTGAACGTTCGAGGATTTTGCTCGCCTTTTCCTCAAGATGAGCCAAAAACATATGTGCCAGAATGGGGCTCAATGGAGTTCCGATTGCGACACCGTCAATTTGTCTGTAAGCCCAACCAAGGAAGGAGAACGATACGTTTGTTGTGCACAGTAGTAATTGTCGTACCAGAACTGATACTGGTATACCGATTTTCAGTTCGTTTTGCTCCACATGATCACACATGATACGTATGACCTCCCGACCGGGAACATTCGTAAACAGTGATTGGAAATCAAATGAAGCCATGTGCTTCCCTTTCACATTGATCTGGTCCAAAAGCTTTACCACTTCGAAACTGTCTTTTTTATAGTGTGTCTGACCATTGATTTATGAACTGGCTCAAGCAATTTCTCCAGCCATTTGGCCAATTCGTGTTGTGGTGAATTTGTCATAGATAGTAGTAGTATTGGTCCAAGTGGCACTCCGGGTTTGTTTAATTTCGGTAAACCATACAGTTGTGCACTTCGAGTTCCTTTTGGCTTCAGATGGTGAGCTGTGCTTTCATCGATGAAGTGTCCTTCTAGTAGAAACTGTACTGCTGTCGATATCTGTTGTTCTAGTTCTTTAGGGTCTTCACAGTCATCTTCGAGTACAAACTTGCTGGGATCATGAAGAACACTTTCCATCTTCTTCTCATAATCATTCCGATCGATCAGCACTGCTCCGGACCCCTTGTTAGGGCGTAAAACTAACAAATCAGGTCAAAACTGTAGCTCTTCAATGGCGGATGTGAATGTGCTCAGGCGTGAAGAGTGACTTATGTTTGGACGATGTCATCCGGTACTGTCGTTCCAAGTCAACCAGCTTTGCTTTGAACCAAGTCTCCGCATCTTTTGAAGTTCGTTTGACTAATTGTAGTTGTTCGAATAGATATTCGAATTGCGCCTGTGTCTTTATGCTGGTCATTTTACTCGGTCGTATGCAGAAACGTAGACCACACGAAAGAGCCTGTAGTTGAAGTCCATTCGTTTACCGGAGACAAATTCTTCACACACCTTTCTGGTTGTTTCGGAAAATTTGGTTCGACTAACTTGTGGACGATGGAATTCTGAAGCTTGTTGAATGTACAAAGTTTGGCTTCTCGTATGTTTTCCATGCACAAGTTGGTAAATTTGATTCGGCTAACGAGGCTCAGTTCGTCAAGAATTATTGATCATTCGATGCACGTGGTCTGAAGTGTCGTTGGATTTTCTTTATAATCATCAATCTGACATCGCATCAAACGTCTCAAATTCCTGGTAGAGGCACAGATTTTATTCCTCCGTAAGCGTTTGCAAAGTGTAATCGGATATCTGTTGCAACGGGCACGTTGTTCCAGAAAATGAATACGGACTCGAGTTGTGGCAATTTCACATCTCAATCTGACTAGGTCATCGAGAGACCTAATGGTTGATTTCGAGAGACGAGATCTGAGGAAATTTAAACATGCTTTTCCCGAAATAGTCTTGTAAAGAAAAGCCACAGTTGCAACATTGCACGATTCGTGTCCGGGACGATTTCGCTGCATCTGAACATGGTGCACACTGCACAACCATACTGTTTATATAAGTTCATGTAAAACCATAATTTTCGACAAATATAGGGGAAATTTCAATAGTCAAGTTACGTCACCATGATAAAGACACATGAACAAAGAGCTGTTTGTGCTGACACAATATTAGGTTTCCATGAATGTATGGGAATGGTTTGAACAAACCTCAAAAGCCTGGTATTCTTTGCCACGTAAATGACCCGAAACGCAGTGCTTCGGTCAGCTGGATGTTGCGTCATCAGAAGATGACGAGCGACGGCCGACGGCCGACGGCCGACAGCCGACGACGGGATCTTATGGTTTCGAACGTTGTCATTATGCCTTTGATCTGACCCTGATTGCATCACAAAACGTTGTACCCAATTTGGAATATATTCAATCACTCGGTTACGTAACTGGCGCTCTGTTCGACCCACGTAGGTTGCTTCGCAACTACACTGAAATTGGAAAATCAGATTCGATTTGGTGTACATTGGTGGACGTTGTTTCACCGAGGGTGTGGGGATCTCAATCGTTCGATGAATAATTCTGAGGTCAGGTGCATAATATTTGTTTTGGGCAAGCGCTGATCCAAGTGGTCGTTTGAGCAAGCAATTGATGTCATCACGTATGAATGGAAGACAAATGGTGACTAGTAGTTTTTCTGCTGAACAATTCGTTTGTCTGATCAATTTAGGCTTGCTGTGCTTTTCGATAAACGCATCGGGATAAGCGTTTCTAGTCAAAGATTCTTTCAGCTGTCGTAGTTTGTTGTCAATCATGTCTTCTGTGCATATATGTCGTGCTGTTTGAAATAGTGTTCGGACCAGACCACGTTCATATTCCACAGACACAAAGCTGTCAAATTGCAAGCATTGGCCTGTCCAGGTTTCCTTTCGGTAAACAGATCTAGCCATTGTTCCATCATTATTCCTAGTCATTTTAATGTCGAGGAAGTGCAGTGTATCTTCGATTTCTGTTTCCATCGTAAATCGTATATTCGGATGCAGGCGATCGAGTTTATCCATAATCCATGTTGTCTCTTCTAGACTTATTGTGATGACTAGAACATGATCAACGTATCGTTTGTAAAGTTGTGAACGTTCGAGGATTTTGCTCGCCTTTTCCTCAAGAAGAGCCAAAAACATATGTGCCAGAATGGGGCTCAATGGAGTTCCGATTGCGACACCGTCAATTTGTCTGTAAGCCCAACCAAGGAAGGAGAACTGTACGTTTGTTGTGCACAGTAGTAATTGTCGTACCAGAACTGATACTGGTATACCGATTTTCAGTTCGTTTTGCTCCACATGATCACACATGATACGTATGACCTCCCGACCGGGAACATTCGTAAACAGTGATTGGAAATCAAATGAAGCCATGTGCTTCCCTTTCACATTGATCTGGTCCAAAAGCTTTACCACTTCGAAACTGTCTTTTTTATAGTGTGTCTGACCATTGATTTATGAACTGGCTCAAGCAATTTCTCCAGCCATTTGGCCAATTCGTGTTGTGGTGAATTTGTCATAGATAGTAGTAGTATTGGTCCAAGTGGCACTCCGGGTTTGTTTAGTTTCGGTATACCATACAGTTGTGCACTTCGAGTTCCTTTTGGCTTCAGATGGTGAGCTGTGCTTTCATCGATGAAGTGTCCTTCTAGTAGAAACTGTACTGCTGTCGATATCTGTTGTTCTAGTTCTTTAGGGTCTTCACAGTCATCTTCGAGTACAAACTTGCTGGGATCATGAAGAACACTTTCCATCTTCTTCTCATAATCATTCCGATCGATCAGCACTGCTCCGGACCCCTTGTTAGGGCGTAAAACTAACAAATCAGGTCACAACTGTAGCTCTTCAATGGCGGATGTGAATGTGCTCAGGCGTGAAGAGTGACTTATGTTTGGACGATGTCATCCGGTACTGTCGTTCCAAGTCAACCAGCTTTGCTTTGAACCAAGTCTCCGCATCTTTTGAAGTTCGTTTGACTAATTGTAGTTGTTCGAATAGATATTCGAATTGCGCCTGTGTCTTTATGCTGGTCATTTTACTCGGTGGTATGCAGAAACGTAGACCACACGAAAGAGCCTGTAGTCGAAGTTCATTCGTTTAACCGGAGACAAATTCTTCACAAACCTTTCTGGTTGTTTCGGAAAATTTGGTTCGACTAACTTGTGGACGATGGAATTCTGAAGCTTGTTGAATGTACAAAGTTTGGCTTCTCTTATGTTTTCCATGCACAAGTTGGTAAATTTGATTCGGCTAACGAGGCTCAGTTCGTCAAGAATTATTGATCATTCGATGCACGTGGTCTGAAGTGTCGTTAGATTTTCTTTATAATCATCAATCTGACATCGCATCAAACGTCTCAAATTCCTGGTAGGGGCACAGATTTTATTCCTCCGTAAGCGTTTGCAAAACGTAATCGGATATCTGTTGCAACGGGCACGTTGTTCCAGAAAATGAATACGGACTCGAGTTGTGGCAATTTCACATCTCAATCTGACTAGGTCATCGAGAGACCTAATGGTTGATTTCGGGAGACGAGATCTGAGGAAATTTAAACATGCTTTTCCCGAAATAGTCTTGAAAAGAAAAGCCACAGTTGCAACATTGCACGATTCGTGTCCGGGACGATTTCGCTGCATCTGAACATGGTGCACACTGTACAACCATACTGTTTATATAAGTTCATGTAAAACCATAATTTTTGACAAATATAGGGGAAATTTCAATAGTCAAGTTACGTCACCATGATAAAGACACATGAACAAAGAGCTGTTTGTGCTGACACAATATTAGGTTTCCATGAATGTATGGGAATGGTTTGAACAAACCTCAAAAGCCTGGTATTCTTTGCCACGTAAATGACCCGAAACGCAGTGGTTCGGTCAGCTGGATGTTGCGTCATCAGAAGATGACGATCGACGGCCGACGGCCGACGGCCGACAGCCGACGACGGGATCTTATGGTTTCGAACGTTGTCATTATGCCTTTGATCTGACCCTGATTGCATCACAAAACGTTGTACCCAATTTCGAATATATTCAATCACTCGGTTACGTAAATGGCGCTCTGTTCGACCCACGTACGTTGCTCCGCAACTACACTGAAATTGGTAAATCAGATTCGATTTGGTGTACAGAGGTGGACGTTGTTTCACCGAGGGTGTGGGGATCTCAATCGTTCGATGAATAATTCTGAGGTCAGGTGCATAATATTTGTTTTGGGCAAGCGCTGATCCAAGTGGTCGTTTGAGCAAGCAATTGATGTCATCACGTATGAATGGAAGACAAAGGGTGACTAGTAGTTTTTCTGCTGAACAATTCGTTTGTCTGATCAATTTAGGCTTGCTGTGCTTTTCGATAAACGCATCGGGATAAGCGTTTCTAGTCAAAGATTCTTTCAGCTGTCGTAGTTCGTTGTCAATCATGTCTTCTGTGCAGATATGTCGTGCTGTTTGAAATAGTGTTCGGACCAGACCACGTTCATATTCCACAGACACAAAGCTGTCAAATTGCAAGCATTGGCCTGTCCAAGTTTCTTTTCGGTAAACAGATCTGGCCATTGTTCCATCATTATTCCTAGTGATTTTAATGTCGAGGAAGTGCAGTGTATCTTCGATTTCTGTTTCCATCGTAAATCGTATATTCGGATGCAGGCGATCGAGTTTATCCATAATCCATGTTGTCTCTTCTAGACTTATTGTGATGACTAGAACATGATCAACGTATCGTTTGTAAAGTTGTGAACGTTCGAGGATTTTGCTCGCCTTTTCCTCAAGATGAGCCAAAAACATGTGCCAGAATGGGGCTCAATGGAGTTCCGATTGCGACACCGTCAATTTGTCTGTAAGCCCAACCAAGGAAGGAGAACGATACGTTTGTTGTGCACAGTAGTAATTGTCGTACCAGAACTGATACTGGTATACCGATTTTCAGTTCGTTTTGCTCCACATGATCACACATGATACGTATGACCTCCCGACCGGGAACATTCGTAAACAGTGATTGGAAATCAAATGAAGCCATGTGCTTCCCTTTCACATTGATCTGGTCCAAAAGCTTTACCACTTCGAAACTGTCTTTTTTATAGTGTGTCTGACCATTGATTTATGAACTGGCTCAAGCAATTTCTCCAGCCATTTGGCCAATTCGTGTTGTGGTGAATTTGTCATAGATAGTAGTAGTATTGGTCCAAGTGGCACTCCGGGTTTGTTTAATTTCGGTAAACCATACAGTTATGCACTTCGAGTTCCTTTTGGCTTCAGATGGTGAGCTGTGCTTTCATCGATGAAGTGTCCTTCTAGTAGAAACTGTACTGCTGTCGATATCTGTTGTTCTAGTTCTTTAGGGTCTTCACAGTCATCTTCGAGTACAAACTTGCTGGGATCATGAAGAACACTTTCCATCTTCTTCTCATAATCATTCCGATCGATCAGCACTGCTCCGGACCCCTTGTTAGGGCGTAAAACTAACAAATCAGGTCACAACTGTAGCTCTTCAATGGCGGATGTGAATGTGCTCAGGCGTGAAGAGTGACTTATGTTTGGACGATGTCATCCGGTACTGTCGTTCCAAGTCAACCAGCTTTGCTTTGAACCAAGTCTCCGCATCTTTTCAAGTTCGTTTGACTAATTGTAGTTGTTCGAATAGATATTCAAATTGCGCCTGTGTCTTTATGCTGGTCATTTTACTCGGTGGTATGCAGAAACGTAGACCACACGAAAGAGCCTGTAGTTGAAGTTCATTCGTTTAACCGGAGACAAATTCTTCACACACCTTTCTGGTTGTTTCGGAAAATTTGGTTCGACTAACTTGTGGACGATGGAATTCTGAAGCTTGTTGAATGTACAAAGTTTGGCTTCTCGTATGTTTTCCATGCACAAGTTGGTAAATTTGATTCGGCTAACAAGGCTCAGTTCGTCAAGAATTATTGATCATTCGATGCACGTGGTCTGAAGTGTCGTTAGATTTTCTTTATAATCATCAATCTGACATCGCATCAAACGTCTCAAATTCCTGGTAGAGGCACAGATTTTATTCCTCCGTAAGCGTTTGCAAAACGTAATCGGATTTCTGTTGCAACGGGCACGTTGTTCCAGAAAATGAATACGGACTCGAGTTGTGGCAATTTCACATCTCAATCTGACTAGGTCATCGAGAGACCTAATGGTTGATTTCGGGAGACGAGATCTGAGGAAATTTAAACATGCTTTTCCCGAAATAATCTTGAAAAGAAAAGCCACAGTTACAACATTGCACGATTCGTGTCCGGGACGATTTCGCTGCATCTGAACATGGTGCACACTGCACAAACATACTGTTTATATAAGTTCATGTAAAACCATAATTTTTGACAAATATAGGGGAAATTTCAATAGTCAAGTTACGTCGCCATGATGAACAGGGCCGACAGCCGACGAAGGGATCTTATGGTTTCGAACGTTGTCATTATGCCTTTGATCTGACCCTGATTGCATCACAAAACGTTGTACCCAATTTGGAATATATTCAATCACTCGGTTACGTAACTGGCGCTCTGTTCGACCCACGTACGTTGCTCCGCAACTACACTGAAATTGGTAAATCAGATTCGATTTGGTGTACAGAGGTGGACGTTGTTTCACCGAGGGTGTGGGGATCTCAATCGTTTGATGAATAATTCTGAGGTCAGGTGCATAATATTTGTTTTGGGCAAGCGCTGATCCAAGTGGTCGTTTGAGCAAGCAATTGATGTGATCACGTATGAATGGAAGACAAAGGGTGACTAGTAGTTTTTCTGCTGAACAATTCGTTTGTCTGATCAATTGAGGCTTGCTGTGCTTTTCGATAAACGCATCGGGATAAGCGTTTCTAGTCAAAGATGCTTTCAGCTGTCGTAGTTCGTTGTCAATCATGTCTTCTGTGCAGATATGTCGTGCTGTTTGAAATAGTGTTCGGACCAGACCACGTTCATATTCCACAGACACAAAGCTGTCAAATTGCAAGCATTGGCCTGTCCAAGTTTCTTTTCGGTAAACAGATCTGGCCATTGTTCCATCATTATTCCTAGTGATTTTAATGTCGAGGAGGTGCAGTGTATCTTCGATTTCTGTTTCCATCGTAAATCGTATATTCGGATGCAGGCGATCGAGTTTATCCATAATCCATGTTGTCTCTTCTAGACTTATTGTGATGACTAGAACATGATCAACGTATCGTTTGTAAAGTTGTGAACGTTCGAGGATTTTGCTCGCCTTTTCCTCAAGATGAGCCAAAAACATGTGCCAGAATGGGGCTCAATGGAGTTCCGATTGCGACACCGTCAATTTGTCTGTAAGCCCAACCAAGGAAGGAGAACGATACGTTTGTTGTGCACAGTAGTAATTGTCGTACCAGAACTGATACTGGTATACCGATTTTCAGTTCGTTTTGCTCCACATGATCACACATGATACGTATGACCTCCCGACCGGGAACATTCGTAAACAGTGATTGGAAATCAAATGAAGCCATGTGCTTCCCTTTCACATTGATCTGGTCCAAAAGCTTTACCACTTTGAAACTGTCTTTTTTATAGTGTGTCTGACCATTGATTTATGAACTGGCTCAAGCAATTTCTCCAGCCATTTGGCCAATTCGTGTTGTGGTGAATTTGTCATAGATAGTAGTAGTATTGGTCCAAGTGGCACTCCGGGTTTGTTTAATTTCGGTAAACCATACAGTTGTGCACTTCGAGTTCCTTTTGGCTTCAGATGGTGAGCTGTGCTTTCATCGATGAAGTGTCCTTCTAGTAGAAACTGTACTGCTGTCGATATCTGTTGTTCTAGTTCTTTAGGGTCTTCACAGTCATCTTCGAGTACAAACTTGCTGGGATCATGAAGAACACTTTCCATCTTCTTCTCATAATCATTCCGATCGATCAGCACTGCTCCGGACCCCTTGTTAGGGCGTAAAACTAACAAATCAGGTCACAACTGTAGCTCTTCAATGGCGGATGTGAATGTGCTCAGGCGTGAAGAGTGACTTATGTTTGGACGATGTCATCCGGTACTGTCGTTCCAAGTCAACCAGCTTTGCTTTGAACCAAGTCTCCGCATCTTTTGAAGTTCGTTTGACTAATTGTAGTTGTTCGAATAGATATTCAAATTGCGCCTGTGTCTTTATGCTGGTCATTTTACTCGGTCGTATGCAGAAACGTAGACCACACGAAAGAGCCTGTAGTTGAAGTTCATTCGTTTAACCGGAGACAAATTCTTCACACACCTTTCTGGTTGTTTCGGAAAATTTGGTTCGACTAACTTGTGGACGATGGAATTCTGAAGCTTGTTGAATGTACAAAGTTTGGCTTCTCGTATGTTTTCCATGCACAAGTTGGTAAATTTGATTCGGCTAACGAGGCTCAGTTCGTCAAGAATTATTGATCATTCGATGCACGTGGTCTGAAGTGTCGTTAGATTTTCTTTATAATCATCAATCTGACATCGCATCAAACGTCTCAAATTCCTGGTAGAGGCACAGATTTTATTCCTCCGTAAGCGTTTGCAAAACGTAATCGGATATCTGTTGCAACGGGCACGTTGTTCCAGAAAATGAATACGGACTCGAGTTGTGGCAATTTCACATCTCAATCTGACTAGGTCATCGAGAGACCTAATGGTTGATTTCGAGAGACGAGATCTGAGGAAATTTAAACATGCTTTTCCCGAAATAGTCTTGTAAAGAAAAGCCACAGTTGCAACATTGCACGATTCGTGTCCGGGACGATTTCGCTGCATCTGAACATGGTGCACACTGCACAACCATACTGTTTATATAAGTTCATGTAAAACCATAATTTTCGACAAATATAGGGGAAATTTCAATAGTCAAGTTACGTCACCATGATAAAGACACATGAACAAAGAGCTGTTTGTGCTGACACAATATTAGGTTTCCATGAATGTATGGCAATGGTTTGAACAAACCTCAAAAGCCTGGTATTCTTTGCCACGTAAATGACCCGAAACGCAGTGCTTCGGTCAGCTGGATGTTGCGTCATCAGAAGATGACGAGCGACGGCCGACGGCCGACGGCCGACAGCCGACGACGGGATCTTATGGTTTCGAACGTTGTCATTATGCCTTTGATCTGACCCTGATTGCATCACAAAACGTTGTACCCAATTTGGAATATATTCAATCACTCGGTTACGTAACTGGCGCTCTGTTCGACCCACGTACGTTGCTCCGCAACTACACTGAAATTGGTAAATCAGATTCGATTTGGTGTACAGAGGTGGACGTTGTTTCACCGAGGGTGTGGGGATCTCAATCGTTCGATGAATAATTCTGAGGTCAGGTGCATAATATTTGTTTTGGGCAAGCGCTGATCCAAGTGGTCGTTTGAGCAAGCAATTGATGTCATCACGTATGAATGGAAGACAAATGGTGACTAGTAGTTTTTCTGCTGAACAATTCGTTTGTCTGATCAATTTAGGCTTGCTGTGCTTTTCGATAAACGCATCGGGATAAGCGTTTCTAGTCAAAGATTCTTTCAGCTGTCGTAGTTCGTTGTCAACCATGTCTTCTGTGCAGATATGTCGTGCTGTTTGAAATAGTGTTCGGACCAGACCACGTTCATATTCCACAGACACAAAGCTGTCAAATTGCAAGCATTGGCCTGTCCAGGTTTCCTTTCGGTAAACAGATCTAGCCATTGTTCCATCATTATTCCTAGTCATTTTAATGTCGAGGAAGTGCAGTGTATCTTCGATTTCTGTTTCCATCGTAAATCGTATATTCGGATGCAGGCGATCGAGTTTATCCATAATCCATGTTGTCTCTTCTAGACTTATTGTGATGACTAGAACATGATCAACGTATCGTTTGTAAAGTTGTGAACGTTCGAGGATTTTGCTCGCCTTTTCCTCAAGATGAGCCAAAAACATATGTGCCAGAATGGGGCTCAATGGAGTTCCGATTGCGACACCGTCAATTTGTCTGTAAGCCCAACCAAGGAAGGAGAACTGTACGTTTGTTGTGCACAGTAGTAATTGTCGTACCAGAACTGATACTGGTATACCGATTTTCAGTTCGTTTTGCTCCACATGATCACACATGATACGTATGACCTCCCGACCGGGAACATTCGTAAACAGTGATTGGAAATCAAATGAAGCCATGTGCTTCCCTTTCACATTGATCTGGTCCAAAAGCTTTACCACTTCGAAACTGTCTTTTTTATAGTGTGTCTGACCATTGATTTATGAACTGGCTCAAGCAATTTCTCCAGCCATTTGGCCAATTCGTGTTGTGGTGAATTTGTCATAGATAGTAGTAGTATTGGTCCAAGTGGCACTCCGGGTTTGTTTAGTTTCGGTATACCATACAGTTGTGCACTTCGAGTTCCTTTTGGCTTCAGATGGTGAGCTGTGCTTTCATCGATGAAGTGTCCTTCTAGTAGAAACTGTACTGCTGTCGATATCTGTTGTTCTAGTTCTTTAGGGTCTTCACAGTCATCTTCGAGTACAAACTTGCTGGGATCATGAAGAACACTTTCCATCTTCTTCTCATAATCATTCCGATCGATCAGCACTGCTCCGGACCCCTTGTTAGGGCGTAAAACTAACAAATCAGGTCACAACTGTAGCTCTTCAATGGCGGATGTGAATGTGCTCAGGCGTGAAGAGTGACTTATGTTTGGACGATGTCATCCGGTACTGTCGTTCCAAGTCAACCAGCTTTGCTTTGAACCAAGTCTCCGCATCTTTTCAAGTTCGTTTGACTAATTGTAGTTGTTCGAATAGATATTCGAATTGCGCCTGTGTCTTTATGCTGGTCATTTTACTCGGTGGTATGCAGAAACGTAGACCACACGAAAGAGCCTGTAGTCGAAGTTCATTCGTTTAACCGGAGACAAATTCTTCACAAACCTTTCTGGTTGTTTCGGAAAATTTGGTTCGACTAACTTGTGGACGATGGAATTCTGAAGCTTGTTGAATGTACAAAGTTTGGCTTCTCGTATGTTTTCCATGCACAAGTTGGTAAATTTGATTCGGCTAACGAGGCTCAGTTCGTCAAGAATTATTGATCATTCGATGCACGTGGTCTGAAGTGTCGTTAGATTTTCTTTATAATCATCAATCTGACATCGCATCAAACGTCTCAAATTCCTGGTAGAGGCACAGATTTTATTCCTCCGTAAGCGTTTGCAAAACGTAATCGGATATCTGTTGCAACGGGCACGTTGTTCCAGAAAATGAATACGGACTCGAGTTGTGGCAATTTCACATCTCAATCTGACTAGGTCATCGAGAGACCTAATGGTTGATTTCGGGAGACGAGATCTGAGGAAATTTAAACATGCTTTTCCCGAAATAATCTTGAAAAGAAAAGCCACAGTTGCAACATTGCACGATTCGTGTCCGGGACGATTTCGCTGCATCTGAACATGGTGCACACTGCACAACCATACTGTTTATATAGGTTCATGTAAAACCATAATTTTCGACAAATATAGGGGAAATTTCAATAGTCAAGTTACGTCACCATGATAATGACACATGAACAAAGAGCTGTTTGTGCTGACACAATATTAGGTTTCCATGAATGTATGGCAATGGTTTGAACAAACATCAAAAGCCTGGTATTCTTTGCCACGTAAATGACCCGAAACGCAGTGCTTCGGTCAGCTGGATGTTGCGTCATCAGAAGATGACGAGCGACGGCCGACGGCCGACGGCCGACAGCCGACGACGGGATCTTATGGTTTCGAACGTTGTCATTATGCCTTTGATCTGACCCTGATTGCATCACAAAACGTTGTACCCAATTTCGAATATATTCAATCACTCGGTTACGTCACTGGCGCTCTGTTCGACCCACGTACGTTGCTCCGCAACTACACTGAAATTGGTAAATCAGATTCGATTTGGTGTACAGAGGTGGACGTTGTTTCACCGAGGGTGTGGGGATCTCAATCGTTCGATGAATAATTCCGAGGTCAGGTGCATAATATTTGTTTTCGGCAAGCGCTGATCCAAGTGGTCGTTTGAGCAAGCATCTGATGTCATCACGTATGAATGGAAGACAAAGGGTGACTAGTAGTTTTTCTGCTGAACAATTCGTTTGTCTGATCAATTTAGGCTTGCTGTGCTTTTCGATAAACGCATCGGGATAAGCGTTTCTAGTCAAAGATTCTTTCAGCTGTCGTAGTTCGTTGTCAATCATGTCTTATGTGCAGATATGTCGTGCTGTTTGAAATAGTGTTCGGACCAGACCACGTTCATATTCCACAGACACAAAGCTGTCAAATTGCAAGCATTGGCCTGTCCAAGTTTCTTTTCGGTAAACAGATCTGGCCATTGTTCCATCATTATTCCTAGTGATTTTAATGTCGAGGAAGTGCAGTGTATCTTCGATTTCTGTTTCCATCGTAAATCGTATATTCGGATGCAGGCGATCGAGTTTATCCATAATCCATGTTGTCTCTTCTAGACTTATTGTGATGACTAGAACATGATCAACGTATCGTTTGTAAAGTTGTGAACGTTCGAGGATTTTGCTCGCCTTTTCCTCAAGATGAGCCAAAAACATATGTGCCAGAATGGGGCTCAATGGAGTTCCAATTGCGACGCCGTCAATTTGTCTGTAAGCCCAACCAAGGAAGGAGAACGATACGTTTGTTGTGCACAGTAGTAATTGTCGTACCAGAACTGATACTGGTATACCGATTTTCAGTTCGTTTTGCTCCACATGATCACACATGATACGTATGACCTCCCGACCGGGAACATTCGTAAACAGTGATTGGAAATCAAATGAAGCCATGTGCTTCCCTTTCACATTGATCTGGTCCAAAAGCTTTACCACTTCGAAACTGTCTTTTTTATAGTGTGTCTGACCATTGATTTATGAACTGGCTCAAGCAATTTCTCCAGCCATTTGGCCAATTCGTGTTGTGGTGAATTTGTCATAGATAGTAGTAGTATTGGTCCAAGTGGCACTCCGGGTTTGTTTAGTTTCGGTAAACCATACAGTTGTGCACTTCGAGTTCCTTTTGGCTTCAGATGGTGAGCTGTGCTTTCATCGATGAAGTGTCCTTCTAGTAGAAACTGTACTGCTGTCGATATCTGTTGTTCTAGTTCTTTAGGGTCTTCACAGTCATCTTCGAGTACAAACTTGCTGGGATCATGAAGAACACTTTCCATCTTCTTCTCATAATCATTCCGATCGATCAGCACTGCTCCGGACCCCTTGTTAGGGCGTAAAACTAACAAATCAGGTCACAACTGTAGCTCTTCAATGGCGGATGTGAATGTGCTCAGGCGTGAAGAGTGACTTATGTTTGGACGATGTCATCCGGTACTGTCGTTCCAAGTCAACCAGCTTTGCTTTGAACCAAGTCTCCGCATCTTTTCAAGTTCGTTTGACTAATTGTAGTTGTTCGAATAGATATTCAAATTGCGCCTGTGTCTTTATGCTGGTCATTTTACTCGGTGGTATGCAGAAACGTAGACCACACGAAAGAGCCTGTAGTTGAAGTTCATTCGTTTAACCGGAGACAAATTCTTCACAAACATTTCTGGTTGTTTCGGAAAATTTGGTTCGACTAACTTGTGGACGATGGAATTCTGAAGCTTGTTGAATGTACAAAGTTTGGCTTCTCGTATGTTTTCCATGCACAAGTTGGTAAATTTGATTCGGCTAACGAGGCTCAGTTCGTCAAGAATTATTGATCATTCGATGCACGTGGTCTGAAGTGTCGTTAGATTTTCTTTATAATCATCAATCTGACATCGCATCAAACGTCTCAAATTCCTGGTAGAGGCACAGATTTTATTCCTCCGTAAGCGTTTGCAAAACGTAATCGGATATCTGTTGCAACGGGCACGTTGTTCCAGAAAATGAATACGGACTCGAATTGTGGCAATTTCACATCTCAATCTGACTAGGTCATCGAGAGACCTAATGGTTGATTTCGGGAGACGAGATCTGAGGAAATTTAAACATGCTTTTCCCGAAATAGTCTTGAAAAGAAAAGCCACAGTTGCAACATTGCACGATTCGTGTCCGGGACGATTTCGCTGCATCTGAACATGGTGCACACTGCACAACCATACTGTTTATATAAGTTCATGTAAAACCATAATTTTCGACAAATATAGGGGAAATTTCAATAGTCAAGTTACGTCACCATGATAAAGACACATGAACAAAGAGCTGTTTGTGCTGACACAATATTAGGTTTCCATGAATGTATGGCAATGGTTTGAACAAACCTCAAAAGCCTGGTATTCTTTGCCACGTAAATGACCCGAAACGCAGTGCTTCGGTCAGCTGGATGTTGCGTCATCAGAAGATGACGAGCGACGGCCGACGGCCGACGGCCGACAGCCGACGACGGGATCTTATGGTTTCGAACGTTGTCATTATGCCTTTGATCTGACCCTGATTGCATCACAAAACGTTGTACCCAATTTCGAATATATTCAATCACTCGGTTACGTCACTGGCGCTCTGTTCGACCCACGTACGTTGCTCCGCAACTACACTGAAATTGGTAAATCAGATTCGATTTGGTGTACAGAGGTGGACGTTGTTTCACCGAGGGTGTGGAGATCTCAATCGTTCGATGAATAATTCCGAGGTCAGGTGCATAATATTTGTTTTCGGCAAGCGCTGATCCAAGTGGTCGTTTGAGCAAGCATCTGATGTCATCACGTATGAATGGAAGACAAAGGGTGACTAGTAGTTTTTCTGCTGAACAATTCGTTTGTCTGATCAATTTAGGCTTGCTGTGCTTTTCGATAAACGCATCGGGATAAGCGTTTCTAGTCAAAGATTCTTTCAGCTGTCGTAGTTCGTTGTCAATCATGTCTTCTGTGCAGATATGTCGTGCTGTTTGAAATAGTGTTCGGACCAGACCACGTTCATATTCCACAGACACAAAGCTGTCAAATTGCAAGCATTGGCCTGTCCAAGTTTCTTTTCGGTAAACAGATCTGGCCATTGTTCCATCATTATTCCTAGTCATTTTAATGTCGAGGAAGTGCAGTGTATCTTCGATTTCTGTTTCCATCGTAAATCGTATATTCGGATGCAGGCGATCGAGTTTATCCATAATCCATGTTGTCTCTTCTAGACTTATTGTGATGACTAGAACATGATCAACGTATCGTTT